TCTTAGGCCATGACCAATAAAGCAGATGTGAAGACCGTGTTCCAACCACTATCATCATCGCTCCATTGCCCTCACCATCACTACCCCAAGCTACTATAATAGTGATATAGTAAGCATATGCTGGCCGGTGTGCCAGGCACTTGGCATGATTCAGCTCTAATATTTGCAACAAATCTCTCAAGTAAATCTTCTCCCTCCTTAATCAACGAAGGAAGAAAGAAAGAAAGTTAGGAGAGGTTGCATAAGAACTGCTACAATTTATCTAGCTAGCAGAGAGAATATTTCAGACAAGCTAAGCAGAAAAATATAGAGTATCATATTGAAAGTATTCTATTTTATATACACTATACTGCTCATAGAAGACTATTAAAATCTCAGTGAAAGAGCCTAAGTAAAAGACACTTTGGTGAAAAGGACACAATATATAGGCAAAGAAAACTGGATTCTGTATAAGACAGTGAGAATAAAAAGCAAGAATAATATAACAAACAAACAAAAAAGCCAACCACCCAAAACAACCCCAATGTGAAACAAAGAAAGAGCATACAGAAAGCTAGGGTGAAATAGGCAAAGAGAAGACTATGAAAATTAGAGCAGGTTGGCTGGGCACGGTAGCTCACACCTGTAATCCCAGCACTTTGGGAGGCTGAGGCGGGTGAATCACGAGGTCAGCAGTTCGAGACCATCTCGACCAACATGGTGAAACCCTGTCTCTACTAAAAATACAAAATTTAGCCAGGCATGGTGATGCACACCTGTAATCCCAGCTACTCAGAAGGCTGAGATAGGAGAGTCAGTTGAATCTGGGAGGAGGAGGTTGCAGTGAGCCGAGATCATGCCACTGAGCTCCAGCATGGGTGACAGGGCAAGATTTGGTCTCAAAAAAAAAAAAAAAAAAAAGAAAGAAAAGAAAATTAGGGTTGTATTTATATAAAACTGATGTTTAACATCCATGAAGATTCTGTTGGTTTATTAAGAGTAGCAAAAATAGGAAACACGTAAAATATGTGCAATATCTGAATGTCATTCTCGATAAAAGAAAATCTTGAGCCTCAGACGAGAGCACAGTCTAGGCAACTACTTTAAAAAGATATAAAGTTTGTGCAGATGTCAAGGACTGGTGAATGGGCTTCATCCTAGAGCAAACATAGGCCTCAGTTCATGATGACAATATATGCCTAAATGTGTCCAAAGTAATGACAAAGCATACTGTGTCATCAATAATAAACTTTGCACAGTGCATCATGAAGGGCTTGCTTGTGTTTTCATGCCCACAAGTGGGTGATGTTTGTGTCCTCATGGGTGTCCAGAGCTGTGAGGTCCCCAAGACCCCATCCTACCTCTGGTGTCTCCCCAGCTCACCAGCTAATCAAGTCCACAGCTGCCCGTCTATTTCTCTGATTCTTACAACACATCCCAGAAGTATGGCAACTAGCACAAATGTGTTAATCCCTGGATCTTAAGTGCCCAATAAAAGAAGCAGGAGTCGCTGATCCTTGAAAAACAGCACCTAGAAGGAACAGGGTGGGGTCCTGCTGGAGGTGCTGATTGTCAAGAAGCCACCACATGTATGTCACCTCTCTGGGCCCACCATGGTGGGCATCTTATAGGAATGACTGAAGTCAGGACATCCTGCTTCATCTGACGCTTAACTTTTTGCCTTACATTGGGAGAAACTTCAGTAAATATTTATGGCTCTGTGTTTCTGGGTCTGTGGCTCTGCTTCTATCATTGTCTGTGATTTGTCTATATCTATAACTATGTGTTTGTGATCAAGTCTCTACTTCTACATTTGTGGCTGTACGAACATTTGATCGAGTCTGTGCTAATGAGTTTGTGTGTTCTGCCATATGTCTTTGTGTGACTGGCACCATGTAGGAACCATCATACCTAATTTGACTGACATCCATACACCCTGCTTTGGGGCAACTCTGTGTGTGTGTATGTGCGTGTGTGTGTGCATGTGCACACATGCGTGTGGACATGCAAATGTGTATTTGCATCTGTCAATTCATGCATGAAGCGAGGGTGCCAGTCTGTGGCCAGAAACTCAGAGAAACAAAAATGGTGGTGATAAAAAGAATGTGATCAAGTCAAGAAATGTTTATAAAAGGCAGAAGAACACTGTACAAGAAAGAAATGAAGATCAGGGTAAAGGAGGGGTATATGAAGACCTCTTGCCTTCTGGTGTGTTGACCTTACCAAGTGGGCAAAGATTTTAAAAAGAATTTGGGGTACAAGTGCTAGAGCAGACCTGTTGACTTTGAGGAGCTTGTTGGACGTGTAGCAGAGATTTCTGGGGGACATGAGGAATTGCATTCAGGAAGGAGAAAAATGCCACAATCTCCCAAGTGCAAGAGTAGCTGCAAGAGATGGAGAGGATGAAACAACCCAGATTACGGGAAGAGGGAGAGGGGAGGAATGCAACCATGCGATGAGTTTCTAAAAGGTCAGCAAAGCCCACAGAAATTTAGTCAGCAAAAGAAGGAAAACCAGGAGGACTGAGAGGAGGATTCCAAAAAGGAACAGTGCACAACCATATCACACAAGGCAAGGGGCCCCTCCAACAGCACAGATGCTGCAAGGAGGCTGCCGGACTTGACCATGAACAGGTGACGGTTGAATTTAGAAAGAGCAGCTTTGGGTGTGTGCTAGGGAAATACATGAACAGTGAGGACTTTGGCACAGAAGGAAAGGAGAGATATGGAAAGAAAATTTTCAGTTAAAGGGGAGACAAGGAGTGAGGCTAACCTTGAGGAGGAAGGGATCAGAGGAAAGAAAACATGGTTGTGAATGAATGAAGATGGAGGACAGCAGATGATATGCTCACAGGAGGTGTGAGAGGGGAGAATCAGTGGCCACCTGAGCCTCAGAGAGGAGACCCAACACTGCTCCCCTCGAGGCAAGACACAGAGGGGTTGACGGAAATTTTTTCATCTGTAAAGGAGGGTGATTTGCCTGTCCTCTAGGATATCATAATGAAATGAGAAACTGCATATAAAAGTGGTCTGCACCTTCCGAAGAACCGCAGAAAAGTGAAGGATGAGTCTTATTAACACCAGGATGGAGAAAGTGAGAAAATGAGGGTCCCTATTAGGAGTGAGTAATTTGGCTGTGGGTGGCCTAAGGCCAGATATGGAACACAGACACATGTAGATACACTGCCCCCTCCAGCTTTCCAGATTCACTAGATGCATGCAGATGTCAAATGTTCTCTCTCACATCAAATGCACACACTTATGCACATGTGGGTTTACACAAACACCAGAATCCATTTGATACACACACACATATTCATGAACAGATGCACATGCAACAGACATACATCAGCTGCCTAGATTCAAGGACATATGCCACACACGTTTGCACTTCCAATGTGCAGAACACAATCCCCTCAGTCACAGGAACAGACACAGGCACACAGAGGTGTGCAGAGGAGAGTGAGGTTCTGGGGCTACCGCCAACCCTGGGCCACGTGTGTCTTGTGGGATTCCCCCCATAGCAGCCTCTGGACAATAACCCACAGCGTCTTTAGCCTGGGTCATCCGAGGCCTGCAGCACCCTCATCCAGCCTTGCTTCCATCAAAAGGGGCAGTACTGCATCTTCAGTGAGCCTCATGCATGCTGGATTCTATTACAGGAGGATTGCCATCCCCACACAAACATCTCTCAGGTGTCATGCAGCTAAGTGGGGTCTTCATCTTTCTGTTTTAGGGCATTTGACGGTTAAAACCTCTTTTTCCTCCCTGTTTTTCGATCTTAAGGGAAATTGAAAGTGAATTAAAAGCAAGTATCACGCTATCTGGAAACACCACATCACTCAGCCCCAAAGAACATATATCAGAAATAAAGAGGAGATCCCTAAAAGAATGAGGGACAGAGGAGGGGTTGAAGGTTGGAAGAAAGGATGGAGGCCAAGGGAAACAGGAAGGTAGAAAGAAATAAAGAATGTGAGAAGGGGAGAGATAATAGATTTATACTAACTAAATCATTCATTCATTCATTTCTTCAAAACATATCTGTCAAACCCTTTCTTCCTGCCAAGTATAATTCTAGGCATCTGGGATAGTGCGGTGCCTAAAAGAAGCAAAGCCCCTGCCCTCATGAAGCTTCTATTCTAGAGAGAGGTGGGAAACCACAGTAAGAGAAAGAGAGGAACACATACGGCTCAAGACAAAAGATCAACAGGAAGAGGGGCTGGAAGTGCTCAGGGGGAGAGGGTGCTGATATTTTAGATGGGGAGGCCAGAAAGCATCCACCAAGGAGATGGGAGTGGAGAACGGAGGAAGAATGGGCTAAGTCAGCAGGGGGAGGAGGCACTGCCCACCAGCCATGGCTGAACTACAGCGTGGCAGCTGCTGGCCTGGGCCAGGTGAGTGATGTGAGGGGAGGGAGACAGGTCAGGGCCTGGTGAAGGGAATTCAGACCCTGGACAGCCACATGGGCCACTGGGAAGCCCCTGGCTTTTACTCCGCATGAGGTGTGAGCCATGGAAAGGTTTAGAGCTGACGAGTCCAGTTGCAATAAAAAAAATCATAGTCGCTTTGTGGAGAACAGAGTTAAAGGGATAAAAGTAAAGACTTTAGTTGGATTTTCTCCTTCTCCCAGGTCTGTTGTATGATGACAAGCTACATTCATTGTAGCTCAGTGTTCATTGCCCTACAAAGCAAAGCCACTGCCATCATGAAGCTTCTATTCTAGAGAGAAGTGACAGACCCCAGAAAGAGAAAGCCTCTTCATCCATGTTCATTGTCCTACAATGCAAATCTGAGCATTTGATTTGTCAAAAGGCAGAGTTGGAGTCAATTTCTCTGGCTGGAGCCCCTCTCCCCCATGATGTTTTAAAAGCATTATTGAGGTATGATTTATGTACCATGAAATTCACCCATTTTAGATGTGTAACGCAATGATTATTAGAAAATTTACAGAGTTGTGCAATCCTCACCACATCAAATTTTAGAACATCTCCATCACCCTTAAATGAAACCTCATGCCCATTAGCAGTCAGTCCTGCTTTACCCCAGCCACTGGCGACCACAAATCTACTTTCTGTCTGTATATGTTGGCCTTTTCTGGACATTTCGCGAAACAAAACCATGCAATATGTCCCCACAGTGTTTCCATGAACTTCACCCTCTTTCATTCTTAACATGAAGACTGAAACAGAAAGGGATGCAGCACTATCCAGTGACTGGTCAGGGGTGTGTCAAGGTCAGCGCCCCCGCTCCATGGCCTCCAGGTGGGACCATGCTCAGGGGACATCCCAGCCCACATCCCTGCTGCCCTGGAAGGCTGAGGCCTCCATGCATCTGCAGTCAGCAACTCCTCCATCACCCTCCTTCCCTGCCTTATCCTGCTGCCCTTCCTCCTCACCAGGTGTGGTTCCTGAGAACCTCTTCCCAACAGACCTTCTGCATGCTGATCTCCCAGTTGCATGGGTCTGTTCCCTGGGAGCCAAACTCTGACACCTGCCAAGGCAAGGTGCTCAATGTCGAGATGAAATAGGTAAGGTCTCTTAAGAGAGAAGAAGTGTTTACTTTTGTTATTTCTCCCAGACTGGCATTCTACAACTAGGACCACACTCCAAGTTTTGTCTGTCCCTGCCCGTTTCCGTCACATCCAGTCAAGGGCATAAAAGCCCTCCTAACGGCCAATGGGAGGAAGTGGTGAGATTTGACAGGAATGATCCTACTTTCTGCACACCTGAACACAAGGCCAGATGCAGCGTGACCCTTGCCGGTGACCTGTTGGAAGATTTCCTTCATAAGCCGACATTCAAACAGGGAAGAAATGTCCAGAGAATTTGTATGTGTTCATTCTCTCTTTCTGCCCTCCTGACCCTGGCTTAGCATCATATGATAGGGAGAAACAGTAAAAACCTCATAAAGAAACCACAAGCCTCTATCATCTTTGTTCCCTCTCCTACCTTTGTGACTTCTGGGCCAACTCGTTTGCTAGGAGGAGATATTTTAGCAAGGCAAAACATTGCAGAAGCTGGAACACTTCTTCCTGGGAGGCAGGGAGTTAAGGGGGAGCAGTGAAAGGTGAGATTCACACAGACAGCCCAGCCCAATTATGGACAGTCTTGTAAGTCAAGGTAAGAAGACTGGATTTACTTCGAAGGCAATAGGGAGTCTTTGCAGGCTTCATGCAAAGATGTGATGCTTTGGGTTTGAGTTCAGGGACCTGAGGGTTATTCCTTTGGAGAGTTAGAAGCTTATTTCCTAGACTCAAGATGATATAACCCAGTTCCTTCTAACCTTTCTAACCCTAAGATTTGCCTGGCATCCTAGTCCCAGATTCACCAAGTCTGCCATAGAGAATATAGCCATTTACTGAGCATTCACTATGTGCCAGGCACAAGGATAAACATTATATTATTATCTCACGTTAGATATAGTGAACTCCAAGCTTCTCTTCAAAGAATCAGTACGTCATTGTGTTCAGCTCTCTTATTCTTTAGTTTTCCATTTTAAAGTTTAACTTCCTTGTGGTTTCAGTAAACAACCTTTTCCACCAGTTCTAATCAGTAGTTCACATCTGTTCCCCCAGTCCCCTGCTCCATCCTGACTCATCCCAGTCACCTGCTTTGAGCCCTGATCACCTGCTCTGACTTCTCCTGTAACCGTCCTTCCTGGCAAACTACCCACCACATCACTCTAGCTTGTACCTTTGCTCTCTTTAAAATAGCCAGTCAGAATTAGCTTAGACGGTGTGGTCTAACCCTAGCCAACAGGGGAATGACACAGCAGTAGGGGCCACCTCCATCATGAATAAGTACCCCTTCCCCTCCTTGTCCAGGTTTGTACTCACCATTATTCCATCAGTGAGCTGCACGCTTCTATAGAAGTAAATTGCCTTGCTAAAGAAATTTATATTTGAGTGCTACTTCTTTTGTGGCACCAAAAATTTACATGTAATACACCAATCTATTCAACAACTTGCTGGCAGAATCACCATGGCTGTATTCCTGAGGTTGAAAGATGTAAGAGACTCATCCCAAGTCATTCAGCATTTTGGCCTCTCTGACTCCAGAACCACCATCTGCTCTAAAAGCACTTTGCTATAAACCTCCCCAGGGTTGCTGCTAAAGACTACTTTTTCAAGAAGGTCCGTGCTTGGCTGGAGAGGTCTTTTGACCCATTTACTCAAGTATAACTAGATAATCACATCTTTAACATTTTCCCGGAGAGAACACATCTCCAGCCCCTGGCTAAAAGGAGCTACCTGTACTGCAGGGGGACAGCTTAATTGTCTGCAAATTTTTGCAAATGAATGGAACTGCAGAAACCAATCTCCGATTTATTCCATTTTTGCAGCTGATCTCATTGTTCTAGAAAGTCGCTGGGAGGATAGCTCTGTGCTACTCAATTCACATTTTGTATGCAATCGAACACACGGTTCAGCCAGCTTTGCAGTACCTGGGGCGACATTGACAGTTTGCTTCATTGCCTTCTGGGGCTGAAGTTTGCCTGCTTAAGGAAGAAACAGTCCACAAATATCCAACTTTCTGCAGCAAATTTAAAAGGCTGGAGAGGCAAGATATTACTCAATTTCCATCTATCTATTTTCCCAATATTGTAGAGGCCAAATATCAGCAAAGTAAGTCACCCACTGCAGATTTAATGTATAGAATTATGCTAACAATAAAATGTGGGGATACAGAAATTATCCCTTCTTAGTCCTTCATATCATCTCATGGTGGGGGTTGTGCGGGAACTCATTTTAAAGGTGGGGGTCAGAGAAGATGATGGTGGATTCACAGAATGGCATAAAGCCAATCTGCTATTGTAAATTACACCACTCAATGCTTTTCAAGGGCCCCCATACAGCCAGGAGAAATGGGTGCAAGCCATTGTTGCCTTTATGCATGCATACTTTTTAGTAGGGACCACCAGCAATATCAGAACAACATCCCCAGTAATGAAAGTCATACATCAGAGACTTTGGTGATGGCCAATGTTGAACACAGTAAACTCCAACTTTCTCTTCAAAGAATCAGCATGTCAGTATGTTTAGTTCTTTATCCTCCATTTTAAAGTTTAACTTCTTTGTAGCTCCAGTAAACAACCTTTTCCACCAGTCCTGATCCCTGTTCCATCCTGATCTCAGTCATCTGCTCCAGTCACCTGCTTTGACCTAGGTCACCCCTGGCTATCTGCTCTGACCTGTCCCATAACTGTCCTTCCTGGCAAACTGCCCACCCCACCACTCCAGCTTGCACCCAAGCTCTCTAGGGACTTGGATGAATCTGGAAACCATCATTCTCAGCAAACTGACACAAGAACAGAAAGCCAAAGACTGCATGTTCTCACTCACAGGTGGGTGTTGAACAATGAGAACAGGTGGACCCAGGGAGAGGAGCATCAGACACTGGGGACAGTTGGAGTCGGGGGGTAGAGGAAAGATAGCGGTGGGTGGGGAGGGACAACATGGGGAGAAATGCCAGATACAGTATGTACCTAAAGTAAAATAAATAAATAAATAAATAAATAAATAAATAAAGCCAATTTTTCTAAGAATCAAATATTAGCATAAATAGCAATTATAATACGTGATATTATCTTTACTGAAAATAAATGAAGAATGAATTAAAAAAAAAAAACAATAAACCAGCCAGTTGGACTTAGACTAGACTGTGAGGTCTAACCCTAGCCAACAGGCGAACGACACAGAGGCTACCTCCGTCAGGAATAAAAACTCCTTCCCCTCCCTTGTTCAGCTGTGTACTCCCCATTGTTCCATCTGTGAGCCGCACCATTTTATAGAAGTAAATTGCCTTGCTGAGGAAATTTATATTCCAGTACTACTTCTTTTGTGGCACCAAAAATTTATATATAACAGCCAATCTCAAAATTAAAAAAAAAAAAGCATAGAAGGTCAAATAACCAATCATCTGAATCCCCATCTAGGAATCATCACGTTCCATTCCTAATGTAATGAATATTTCAGTCATTTCTGTTGTTACATGTGCTTAAGGTAGAAAAGAAATTGCTTTGACCAAAGAGTGAGTGGAGAAAATAAGTAACAGGTTTCATCAGGGGAGTCTAATTTGAGCGTTAATTCCAGATGTTCTCTCTCCAGCAGCCAGCAAGATCTTTCAAAAACATTCTTCTCTCCCTCATGAAGCCTAAAGGGTATCTCAGTTTCTGCTTGCCAAAGGATGAAGTTTCCAGCTTTGCTAAGGCCAGGCTTGGCTCCTGATGCTGACTGTCACCTCAGGTGCTATCACTGTCCTCCTGGCTTTGCTTCTCAGCTGCACCCACCCCCTTTAGGTCCTGTGAGATATAGTGAACTCCAAGTTTCTCTTCAAAGAATCAGCATGTCAGTATGTTCAGCTCTCTTATTCTTTAATTCTCCATTTTAAAGTTTAACTTCCTTGTAGTTTCAATAAACAACCTTTTCCACCAGTTCTAATCAGTAGCTCACATCTGTTCCCCCAGTGCCCTGCTCCGTCCTGACTGATCCAGTCACCTGCTCTGGTCACCTGCTTTGACCTGTCCCATAACTGTCCTTCCTGCCAAACTGCTCATCCCGCCACTCCAGCTTGTATTCTTGCTCTTTTTAAAACTGTCAGAGTCAGCTTTGACTGTGCAGTCTAACCGTAACCAATAGGCAAATGACACAGCAGTAGGGGCTCACTTCGTCAGGAATAAGAACCCCTTCCCCACCCCTGTCCAAGTGTGCACTCGCAATTGCTCCATCTGTGAGGTGCACCCTTCTATAGAAGCATATAGCCTTGTTGAGAAAATTTACATTTGAGTCCTACTTCCTTTGTGGCACAATAATTTACATATAACAATCCTCCAACTGCAGGTGCTTGTCTGAGTGCTTCTTTCCTATGAGTTGCCTTCTAGTCTCTCCCCTGTTTTGCCTGGTTAACTCCCCACCCATATTTCGACTCTCTGCTCAAGCGCCACTTCTAGGCTTTCTCACTCTCTTTTGCTGTGAGGATTGGCTGCACTTTGCCTTTTTCACCTAGAGCAGTGTCTCAGCTTTTAATTCATTCAGTACTGTTGTTTCATCAGTGTTGGTCTTCCACACAGGCTACCATCTCCATAAGGGCAGACTCAACATCCTCCTGGTCTGCAGCTACGTTCCCTGGTGCCTAGCACAAGACAGGAACAGAGCAGGTATCTAAAAAGCACTTAAAATATTACTAAAGAAAGTATGATACAAATATGGGGTTATTGTAAGAATTTCAGTAATCCAGGTAATGGAGTTAGCACAGTAGCTGTTCCAGAGTATTTGCTCCATGATTGTGTCTAATAAATAAATGAGCAGGATGTCAGTGATTCCACTTTGACTTGGTCATTAATAGAGAAATCTTCTCTCTAACAAGAATAAAACTGCCACTCTCTGTTGGATTCTTCCATCCTGGGGTGCTCAATGCTTTGTGGAGTAACTAAATCTATAGAAAATCTTTAGAAAATTCTTTCTTTTGTTAAACTAAAATCTACCTCAGGGGTCTTGGTTTTGTTTTCTGGAGTTGCATGGAAGTCCCCCCCTTCTTCATAGAATAGTGTCAGCTATCAGAGGTCAGTTTGGTGTTGTCTCATGCTCCCTGCTTTTGTGTTCCTTGTAACTTCTGCCCTCCAAACATCACCAGTTCCCAGAATCATCTTTTATCAGATGTGGGTTCCACATATTTTCCCCCTTTATAAGTGCTGTAATTTATAAGTTGGTCTTAAAGTTCTTCCCCAAATACCCTGAAATTATCCTAATAGCCTAATATGTTGACTATAAAGTTGAGAAATAAATATATGTGCATGTGTGTGTATATATACATATATATATATACACACACACACACATATATACATACACACACACACACACACACACACACACACACACACACATATATATACACACACACACACACATATATATATATATGGAGGTGGTGGGGGAGACTGTCTCTGTTACCAGGCTAAAGTGCAGTGGCATGATCTTGGCTCACTGCAACCTTCGCCTCCCTGGTTCATGTGATTCTCCTGCCTGAGCCTCCCGAGTAGCTGGGACTACAGATGCACACCATTACGCCCAGCTAAATTTTGTATTTTTAGTAGAGATGGGGTTTCACCATGTTGGCCAGGATGGTCTCGATCTCTTGACCTAGTAATCCACCTGCTTGGCCTCCCAAAGTGCTGGGATTAGAGGCATGAGCCACCACGTCCAGCTGAGAAATATTTTTTAAAAATAAAGTACACAGTGGTCATGAAGGTCTGGTAAATAGATATATTGTGCTAAAGATAAAGATACAGGTATTTTACTGAAAAACAATGTAACTACGTTTGGCAGGCTTTAAAGTGTTCATATTTTTTGACTAAGTAATTTAACTTCTAAGAACATAGCGCAGAGAAATAATCAAAATATACACACACAATACACTCAGAAAGGTATTTGGTATATTACGTGGAAAAGAACAAAAAGGAAGCAACCACATTACCCATCAAGAGGAAGAGATAAAGTGTTAATTACACCTCCTTTTTGGCTATTTTTTCTAACTCCTAACCCACAAACCTAAAAACACATTAACTCCTCCAAATAGAAAAATACCACATGTGTATACACATACCACAAAGCAACACAAATTTCTAATCACCAAGAACTCTCTGTCTTTCTGTGTCTCTGTCTCTGTCTCCCTCTCAAATCCTGTTTGCTTGCTGTAGAATGGGTGGAGTCCATAGACAGGTGAAGTCTGAATCTCTGAATGTCTTCACAAAGTGCAGTTCCCTGCCAACAGGATTGGTTGGTTCTTAACTGCTGGTTTGCTAGAGTAATTAGCCTGCCCTAACTGACACATAGACCAAATACACATTGGTTTCATGCATGAATAAATGAAAGAAAAAGTTAATTAACGAAGACACAAAGGTACAGAAATCAAGAAGGAAATTGAGAGATAGATAAAATGAATAAGTAAAGCAAAGCAGAGAGTTCTAAAATTACTGTTTCCAAAAATGGAACAAAGCCCTAAAACTCTGGAAACTTTTTTCTACAAAGTTTTACTAAAATTATGTGTGTATGAGAAAGTTTGTGCACATATTGAATTTTCTCTTTTTTTTTTTTTTTTTTTTTTTTTTGAGACAGAGTTTTGCTCTGTTGCCAGTCTGGAGTGCAGTGGTGCAACCTCGGCTCACTACAGCCTCTACCCCATCGATTCAAGTGATTCTCCTCCCTCAGCCTCCTTAGTAGCTGGGACTACAGGCGTGGGCCACGAAGCCTGGCTAATTTTTATATTTTTAGTAGATACAGGGTTTTACTATGTTGGCCAGGATAGTCTTGATCTCTTGACCCTGTGATCTGCCCTCCCAAAGTGATTTGACCTTCCAAAGTGCTGGGATTACAGGCCTGAGCCACCACTCCTGGCTACACATATTGATATTTAAGGAATAAGAGTTATTCACTTCCTGATATAGTAGCTTAGACCTAAATATGTATTTAACATACATGAGATACAGTAAAACAAGACTGACTGCTTAATCAAGGAGAAGTACATAGCTTATTTTTATTTCTCTTCATTGTAAATGAACTAAGGTTTTTGATATTCCATGAAATTATGAAACTATAAAATAGAGAGAAGGATTGTTTTTATGAATTCTTGTTGAAGTCAAGTTATGATGATCGATTGATATGATCCTAGGTTTTTATGATGGGCTACAGCAAATGCTTCCCTGTGTCCCTCCATTCTCCTGCCTAAGTGCTCTGACCAAACATGTAGGAAATAAAAATAAATAAAAGTTCCTCTTCAAAGCTTTCCTCTTAGTTCATTGTAAATAATAGCTTCTTCAATAGTTAATTTACTCTAGACCCTGTGCTAATACTCCTGAGTAGCTGTTAGTCATAAGAAAGAAATAAATGTATCCACTGTTCTTAGTTCTTACACGTTAACCTAGATATTTGCCCTGACATGCCTGGACAAGTCCAGGCAAGTCTTAGGTCATAGCTTATTCCTTTTCCTTATGTGGAAGTAGTTTTGCCTCTCTAAGCATTCCTCAAGTGACTTCCTTTCTCCTTTCTTCTCCTTTGCCTTTACCTGTTTAGGAAAGTTTTAAGTTATTAGCCAACTG